CATACATTAATATTATATATTATTTTGATTTCCTGATATTGATACATTTGACTATGTTCCATTATTTTCTTTATATGGTGTTGGATTCTTTTTGATAATATTTTATTTAGTACATTGACTTTGATATTCATAAGTGATATTGGTCTGCAGACTTTAATTTCTTTAAACTTAGGGCAAAATATTAATAACATAAAATTTACTATTTTAAGTGAACAGTCCAGTGACATTAAGTAAATTCATATTGTTGTGCAACTATCACCATCAACCACCTCCTGAGTGTTTTATCATCTTGYAGACTGAAACTCTGTATTTATTAAACACTCACTCTCTATTTTCCCTCCTTGCAGCCCCTAGAAACTATTATTCTACTTTCTGTCTCCTTGAATTTGACTACTCACAGTACTTATGGGAGCAGTCACACAGTTTTTTTTTTTTTCCCATTGTGGCTGGAGGCACAAAAGTTGATAAAAGAAAAACAAAACAATACTATTTGTAAATGATATGACATCATTTAAATATCTGGATAACCCTAATTTATATGATAAAATTAATTCAATAAGAAAATTATAAATAAGATCATAAGATATAAAACAGGTATAGACATCAATACCATTCATAAACACAAAAAGTAATCAATTAAAAATATAATGAAGAGAAAAAACATTCATAATAGCAACAAAGAAATTTAAACATTTGGAATAAATTTAGCATAATGTGTTCAGGGTGCATCCATCTTTCTTCTTTTGTGTTTAGTTGATTTTTTTGTAGTGAAACATTTTAATTCCCTTTTAATTTTCTGTATGTATTTCTCTATTGTTTTGGTGTGGCTACTGTGAGGATTATATTTTACATCCTAAATTTTAACGCTCTCTTTTACATTGATTCCAGCTTAACTGTAGTAACAAAAACTTGCTCTTTGTCTCTGTACCCACACTCTTCTAGTTATTGATGTCACAAAATTACATCTCTATGTACCATGTGTCCAATAGAAGAGGTTATTTGTTGTTTTTAAAATGTATTTRCCTCTTTAATCATTAGAAGACAAAAAGTGAAGTTAAAAGTTTTAGAGCTGAAGTTCCAATCAGCTCCAAAATTTCTTTCTGGTTCCTTTATATATTTTCTATCTGTTGATATTTCTATTTTGTTCATACATTATTTTCTTGAATTTATCCATATTCTCTTTTAACTTTTTGATATCTTTAAGACATTACTTAAAAGTCTTTGTTTAATAAGTCTATTATCTGTTCTTTCTCAGGGAGAATTTCTGTTGATTTACTATAGCAGACAGATTCCAGTGCCATTATTGTGTAGGTGGGAGGACAGACTCCTGGTGCTACTTACTCTACCATCTTCCCTCTGAGTCTCACGTGTATGGTGTGTGTGTGTGTGTGTGTTTTCCTGGTGCTATTTTTAAAATCTAATTTAGATGTCAATGCTAAACCTTATTTCATAAAAAGCTTTGAGAACATTTCTCCTATTTTCAATATCTGGAACAGTTTATGGAACATTGGACTATCAGGTCTTGGAAAGTTTAATGAAATTTCCTTGTAAAACCATTTGGGGTTGGTATTTTTTTCTTATTTTTGTTTTGTGGGGGCAATTTTTTTCTAATTCTTGCTAAATTTATCTAAATTTTTTTCATGGATATTGTGATGCTTATGTTTCTTTTCCTTTTCATTTAGTGGTGTTAATTTTGATAATCTCTATTTTCTTGGAAATTTATCCAGTTCACCCAGGGACTTCCAAATTTATTGCCCAGAGTTTTCAAAATAGTTATTAATAAATAATGTATATTTTAAAAAATTCTTTTTCAATTGCATTTTATCATTTATTTTTTTCTTTCTTTCTTTGTTTTGGTATCAGGGACTGAACTCAGGGGTGCTTAACCACTGAGCCACATTCCCAGCCCTTTTAATTTTTTATGTAGAGACAGCTAAGTTGCTTAGGGCTTTGCTAAGTTGCTGAGGCTGGCTTTGAACTTGTGATCCTCCTGCTTCAGCTTCCTGAGCTGCTAGGATTACAGATGTGTGCCACCATTCCCCACTTTCTCTTCTTATTTTTATTAACAGTTACTTTAAAGTTTGGGTATTCTCTGTTTTTTAGTTATGCTGAAGGCATTTTTTAAATGTCAGAGTTGAACTTTTCTCCTTATTGTTCTGTGTTGTGTTTGTAGGGTGTATGAGCTGTGTGGACCTAGGGACCTAGAAAGTTGTTGCTCTAGCCTTTKGTTACTCTGGATATATATATTTTTTGGTGCTAGAGATTGAACCCAGGGCCTTGTGCTTGCTGGACAATTGCTCTACCTCCAGTTCCTGAATGTCTTTTTGAATATTTACTTTTTAGTTGGTTTATCAATTCACTTCAATACCTGTATCCATCACATTTTGATATTCAGACAAAAGTTTTAATATAATATTCTGTTACAGGTATTTATATTGTCACTTAGAAGAGAATGAGTAGGAAAGATATTGAAAAAAAGGAGAGAAATGAGATAAAATGGTTTCAGGAGATATTTATCAGTAGTATACTTTGTGATAATATTTTATTATATGCCTCTCATATATTAATTTAAAAAATGGTTTAGCTTCACTTTTTCCAGCTATAAAACATGGGAATGTGTAAATATATGTAGCTCTTTAAAACTGACAGATACACTGGTGTATGATGTGTTGGTTTATTGGGAAGTAATTTGGTGTTCCAGAGATGGAGGCAACTCAACTTCTAATATACCTACAACATTGGCTTATTCATAAGATTTATAGATTTACTTAATAAATATGTATGTCTCACCCGTGCCCTGCACAGATGGTGGAAATGGGGTTCCCCTCTGGAATGGGCTGGCTGAGAAATAAAAGCCAAGAAAAAAGAGAATGGCAGAAAAAACCACAGGACACAGAAAGTAGTTTCAAAAGCCGGGCAGACGCATAGAGCTTCTAGATTACAACAAAATGCAGCCCGTGTCTGCCTTATTTATGTTGGGAAACATCAAAGGCCTTCCATAGAATGTTCTTCACCAGAAAAGGTTAAAGGTGGGCTGTTCAGTTCCTAATGGGTTACGCCCATCTCTGGAGCTACTATGGGGGGTCTTCCTAGCAGAATGGAGATAAAGGTCACGTGCATTGGGCAATCTATTGCCGTGGGAAAGCCACAGATAGTTCCCAAGGCCAAACCTAAATCTCCCTGGCTTCATGCCCAGAGAAGATCCTCATGAATTTCAAGGATGACTTCCTGCATACATGCATGTCAAGCTCTATCAATCAGACATTTAATCTATATTGCAACTAACTCATAATAATTCTAAAAGATAGCTATTATAACCTCAGTATGCAGAAGAGAAAGGAAAAAGTCACAGAAGTTAAGTAATCTAAGGTCATCGTCCAAATAAAGGGTAAAACAGAATTCAATTCTGAGCTTTGGCTCTAAAATATCCATTCCATAGTCACGTGGAATGAGTCTTTATTATTAGCTTGCCAAGTGTAAGCTAAAATAATTTCTTTGCTTTGAAATACATTCTATTCTATGACAGTTTGGGCTGACTCTTTGACTTGATGATATCAACAGCTTAAGTATTGGGAATTGTGTTAGTCAGATTTCCATTTCTGTGACAAAATACCTGAGGTACTCAATTTAAAAAGAGGAAAACTTCATTTAGACTCTAATTTTAGAGATTTAAGTCCACGGTCAGTTGGCCCTGTTGCTTTTTGGCCTACAGTAAGTCAGCACAACATGGCAGGAACACCTGGCAGAAGAGGCTACTCACCTTATGGAAGCTGGGAAGCAAAAAGAGAGAGGAAGGGGCCAGGGTTCTAATATCCTATTGGAGGGCACACTTCCAGTGACCTGACTTCCTTCCACTAGGCCCCACCCCTTAAAGGTTCTACCACCTTCTATTAGCACTGGGACCTGGGAACCAAGCCTCCAACACGAGGGTCTTTGGGGACACTTCTTCAAATCATAAAAGGGATACTTTTAGCATGGACCCAGAAGGCTAGTAGCATTCAGTCTTGTAGTTAGAAGTGATTACATGCTGAAAAAATGAGGAGATTTTGAATGTAAGAACTTTTATGGAGGCTGTTCAGCTCCAAGAAATGGTCCATCCAGACCTGTCATTGTCAGTGACTGTGCTTCCCTGACAGTCACCCAGGCAGGTGGACGTGCCCCAGGACTGGCTATGAGGGAAGGGCATTAGTGTGGTCTCACTGTTCCATTGAGTCTGCCCCTCAGTTCTTGAGCTTTTATTCACCCACCACGGTAGAAGAAGTCATGATTTGTCAGGAAAACTCATCTTCAACCTCATTTAGGTTTAAGATTAGCTTTCACGTCATTAATGGCAGTGGTACCTTTAAAGTGGGAATTTTCACTAAAACATCTTATGTAGATGTAAAATGATTAGTATTCACAAATTGGTGTTTTAATAGGAACCTTGAGAATTTGCTAATTATGTGAATGAATGAGGGTCAAATGATGGAGCTCTGAGACCCAACCTTGTTTTTGGCTCTGGAAATACTTCTCTTGTGCAATAAGTCAACATGGCCATGACTTATACCATTAGTCACTTGGCAGCTGGAAGGACACATGTGTCTTTAGGTGAATTTTCTTTACAATGAGATCATGAGTTCATAACTTGCTTAGCTCCTTGTGATTTCAACAAGTCATAACAGCCCTGGAACTGAGCTTTGTTTCCTAGGCCAAGGCATCCCTTTAGAGTAGATCATTCACATTGTACATTTACATATTTTGGAAGCATGGTTCTATAATCTATCATATTTTTATGCAATATTTATCCTTCTAATCCTTCTCCAGGAAAATATTTAATGGCAAGTGTTACCTAATCCTTTCTACCTCAGTCAGGTTCCTAATCTGTAAAAAGAAGGAAATCAGTCGATAGGACCTCATATGGCCTGTGAAACTGTCTTTGTGTGCAGCCTGTTGACACAGAGAGTGTTKCAGGTATGGGGATTTGAATAGTGTCTCATCCATCTTCTGCTCTCCCCATCCAGGTGTGTGCATGGGCAGTTCCACTCGGCACATTGTGACCTTTGATGGGCAGAATTTCAAGTTGACTGGCAGCTGTTCCTATGTCCTGTTTCAAAACAAGGAGCAGGACCTGGAGGTGATTCTCCACAATGGTGCCTGCAGCCCTGGTGAGAGGCAGACCTGCATGAAATCCATTGAGGTGAAGCATGATGGCCTCTCGGTTGAGCTCCACAGTGACATGGAGGTGAGAGGTGCTTTCTGTGGGGCCCCATGGCAAGGCTGCAACAGAACTTCAGGGGAGCCACATGGAGCTGGTGGCAGCTGGCTTTAGCTGGTGCTGCTGGTTGGGACTCAACCTTCTGCCAGACTAGCAGAGCACCACCTTCTTCCGAGGGCCTCCTTGCCATTTCCCTTTTCTTGGCCTGATTTCATATTTTTCTGGGCCCGGAATTGGAAGAGCAAATCAATTTTAGATAGCATTAAATTATGAATTTAGTGCCAGTTTCTGGCACTGATAGAGAATTGGGGTTGGCACAAGGACTGTTTACCCACTAGGCATCATGAGCCCAGTGTCTAAGGCTTGTGAGCTTTCCAAAGGGAAATATTTAGGGCCTAAATCAGGGCCTTTGGAAATATTTAGGGCCTAAACAAACTATAATGCTCCAAAATTTGAAAACTGTCAAACTGGTATAAATAAATGTTTGATTAAATGTTTACAAAAGGTGACTTTATGCCAACTTCTTTACTTGTTCACTTGAAAATCATAAATATTTCATTGCATGAAAATAACTCGTAGGCTAGATTTTTCTCACTTTGCAAGAATTTCTGAACATGAACAATAATTGCTGAGAAATCATAGCTCATCATATATTAAATGAGAACTCATAGCCAAAAAATTTTAAAATCAAAGTGATAAAAACCCTTCCAATTTTTTTTTCACAGCAAAAATCATATTCATCACAGGGTGTGAGCACATTTTAATATGTTTGATATGGTGGTGCCTCCAAAGAAAAGAGCTTCTAGGGACCCACGTGCATGCAAAGAGGACCCGAAATACTTCTGTTAGATAATCCTGGGGACAGGGCCCTGATGAACTGGAAAAATAGCAACTTTTCTAGCCTGTCCTGAAGGGGTCACAGACTCAAGGTTCCCTTTCACCCTGGTCTTTCAAGCTCCAGGTGTGTGGCTGTCTGTACAGTACTAGAGCTGTCTGCTCCCCAGCCAGCTCTGCAAAGCGCCTGCGTTTTAGAAAAGCTGTTGACAAATATCAGGGCTCGAGGTCAACGCTGCTGTTGAGTGATGAATGTGTAGGACATCTCAGTGACTTCAGTAGGAAGCCGGGACTCAAGTTCTAGGATTCCTTGTTGCTGGGACTACTGATGACCTTTTCCTTCCTGGGGCAGGTGGCCGTGAATGGGAGACTGGTCCCTGCCCCTTACATGGGTGGGAACATGGAGGTGAGCATCTATGGTGCCATCATGTATGAGGTCAGATTCCACCGTCTTGGCCACATTATCACATTCACTCCACAAAACAACGAGTTTCAACTGCAGCTGAGCCCCAAGGTGTTTGCTTCAAAGATGTATGGCCTCTGTGGTAAGGACATTTTCTCCACATTTCTCTCTCTCTCTCTGAAGTTTATTTTTTTTTAATTAAAAAAAGTGTTTTTTTGTTTTTTTGTTTTTTTGTACTAGGGGTTGAATTCCAGCCCCTTTTATTCCTTGAGACAGGATCTTGCTAATTTGCCAGGTTGGCCTTGAATTTGCCATCCTGACTCAGCCTCCTGAGCAGCTGGGATTATGGGCACAAGCCACTGAACCAGGGCTTCCCCCCTACATTTATAAATCTTATGCATTGTACTTTCAGGGTTCTTGGATGGAGGGTTTCTGGGTCTAGTGGCCAGTACCCCATCACAATGTTCAGATGCTGGTGGGGTGGAGAATGGCCAGGTCTCCAGCATTAGCGTGGCGGCCTGTATGACTGCTAACTCGTTCCGTTTTCTCTAGGGATCTGTGATGAGAATGGGGCCAACGACTTCATGCTGAGGGACGGCACAGTCACCACAGACTGGAAAAGGCTCGTCCAGGAATGGACAGTGCAGCAGCCAGGGCAGACGTGCCCGTTGGTTCCCGAGGAGCAGTGTCCTGTCTCTGACAGCTCCCACTGCCAGGTCCTCCTCTCAGCCCAGTTTGCTGAGTGCCACAAGGTCCTTGCCCCAGCCACGTTCTATGCCATCTGCCAGCAGGACGGTTGCCACCGGGAGCGAGTGTGTGAGGTGATTGCCTCTTATGCCCACCTCTGTCGGACCCATGGGGTCTGTGTGGATTGGAGGACACCTGAGTTCTGTGGTGAGTCCCCTTATGTGCTCCTACAAGTCCTGGAGGGCAACTCACTGTGGCCTCTCTCCACCTCTCTGGGCCTCAGATTCTTTTCTGCCTCATGAAGATCAAAATACCTATATTTCCTATTCCTTAGGATTCAAAAAAAGAATCAGGTAAGATGATAGATATGTAAGTACTTTGAATGTAGGATTCTGTATAAATCAAAGATGATCCTTTCTATTAGTATTTCTGTAATTCAAACAAATGTGAATTCAGTGTATTAGACACTACACCTCAGCAGAACTATATGACCAGTCACAATGAATTTGAAGTTTCACCGAGCCATAGCCAAAGCTCACAGAGGAGGCTTTGCCTGAGCTGGATTTTGAAGTGTGAATGGAATTTTGCCATTCGGTTATTAAGAAGATGCTCAGTTTCAAACACCCCAGGATTGCTCGTGTAACTGTCTTCCCCTCGAGGTCAGCTTTCCTACTTGAATGTGGCATTTATTTATCATTTAAAATGTGGGGGATACCAAATGAATTAGATATGAATCCTACCCTCAAGAGGTGTTGGAGTGAAAAGAACACTGAATTTAAACACCCTCAATCTGTATCAAATATAATGGCTGACTTTCTTTCTTTTTTTTTTTTTTAACTGGAATTAAGCATGCTGGAGTTCATTATTCTAAAGCTGTCAGCAGTTGTAACTGGGGCTGGAGGACTTGGGCATCCTAGTCTCAGTTCACTGGTGATTGGCTGTTTTCTTAGTCTTTCTGGACTTCAGTTTCTGCACAGAAACTGAGAGAGAGTTGGGCAAGATTGCCCCTAGGTTCCTTTGAGTTCTGATTTTTTTTTTGAATCCATGTGGATGACACTTCCTCCTCTTAATCTGCCTGAAGTCAAGGAGCATGTTCTAGTATCTAAGTTACTGGAAGCACCTTTTTTTTTTTAAAAAAAAATTATTCTAATTTGTTATATATGAGAGCAGAATGCATTTCAATTCATATTACATATATATAGCATGGTTTCTCATATCTCTGGTTATACACAATGGAGAGTCACACCATGGAAGCACCTTTTTTGTCTGCTAATTTCTCTGTGCATATCCTGGCTATTCATTGTGCTCCAACTCTTTGAAAATCTTTGGAAATCCTCTCTATCTGGGTGTGTGAGGTAGTTGCCAACAGGGTGAGAAACACAGTGAATCACCTTGTAGCCTCTCTCCCAAGGCCACTCTTCATTGCTGTGGATTCTTTTTTTAAAAAATTTTAAGAGAATTTTAAAGCGTCACATACATCTGCATTCCAAAGAAAAAGCCACAAAGCTTGCTAAGGGATGCATGGGTTCACTTAGTTAGTTAGGATTCAATTTGGCTGCAAGTAGCAGAGAAATCAAATTCTCTGTCGTATGGATGATCAGAGGAAGGTGATATCAAGTGATTCTGGGGCTCACCTGAGGGTGATCTTTTTCTGCCTGGTTTAAGATGCAGCTCTAGTTATCATTTGCGTGTTCCATGGGGAAGGAGAGAAAAGGAACAAAGGGCATGCACACACAGCTGTCTTTTAAAAATGATTTTTGGAGGCTGCCACAGGATACTACATTCCTCTTACAGCTCATTGGCCAGAATTTAATCGTATTACCACACTTAGCTGCAAAGGATGTTGGGAAATGAGCTCTTCATTCGGGGTGGTTGTGTATACAGCTGAAAGTTCCATTTCTATGGAAGATGGAGAGAATGAACATGGGTGAAAAGTCGTCATCTCTGCTGTAGCAAGTTTGTCAGATGATTGCACACCTTGAATCAGCTGCATCTGTGTTTTCCTCTGGTGTGTGCCATGGAGAGTGACTTCCTTCTCTGTCTGCAGCCATGTCATGCCCACAGTCCTTCGTGTACAACCACTGTGAGCATGGCTGCCTCCGGCACTGTGATGGCAATACGAGCTCCTGTGGGGACCATCCCTCGGAAGGCTGCTTCTGTCCCCCACAGCAAGTCCTGCTGGAAGGCAGCTGTGTCCCTGCGGAGGCCTGCACTCAGTGTGTTGGGGAGGATGGAGCCCAGCACCAGGTAGTAGCCTTGGCCTTTCACYTGCTGTGGGATGGCTTCCCAGGCTCCTGCCAACTTCTGCAGGAGGTCAACTCCTAAGGGGATCATGGAGGGATAGGGAGGCAGTATTACATAATGGCTTTGGATTCAGATAGATCTTGGTTGAAATTCCGGGCCTGTCATGTATTAGCTGGGCAATCAGACACCAAAGTGTTATTCCTACATTATTACTATTATTTTATGATCATATTCATGTACATAGAATGATATAGGAACTCAGGAGGGAAAAGAAAACGAATATTTTATATGGTGATGCCTGACGTTATTCAGATTATATCATATACCTTGATTATGCTAACCCACCATGTATGAATTTTCTCAGTGGTTTTCAAAGGTGTTTTTTTTTTTTTTTGCAAGGTATTAACAGTTACTTGTGGCCAAATGAGTTGAAAAAATACTTAGCTAAACATAGTTTTCACATTTCTTTATTGCAGGATTCTTCAGCACTTTTGTGKTGCTAATGTATATTGCAAATATTTAAGAGGATTTTTGTTTCTTCAACTTATTCAACCATGCAGTTTGTGTGTGAGTGTGTGTGTGTAACATTCCTGTAGACTAGAATTCCATAGAATATATCAGGATATCCTCTATTACTTATAAATACTCACAGAAGCCCTATGAAGAATCATGAAGCCCTATGAAGAAGTCTTAAAGAGCTTAGTAGCTTGCCCACATGCACAGTTTGTAAGTGACGGAAATGGAAGTTGGACTCAGATTTTGAAGTTCCATCTGACCTCAAAGATCTTGTTCTTTCTATCATATGGAATTGCCATTTTAGTACATCTTTTTTTTGGACTGATTAGCTTGGAGCTATTGAGTCATCAGTTTTTATTTATTTATTTATTAGCTCTGCAGGAGTTAATTAGAACACTTGGAAAGAACAGTTGGCAGAGTTAGCAGACTCCCCCTTCTTGGTCTGAAATGACAGCATATCTCTTCCAAGCTGATACCATGTGTATTTAGAGGATCCGAGGCTTATGTGTGTCTGTGCCTATGTGAATATGGGCAGTGGTCTGGTCCTCACCCTTGACAGAGATACTACCAAGCAAGATAGAGGTAGAACCCACTTGGCATCTAGGAAAGGAGAATGTGTTCTATGATCCTGTCTGCACTCATGATCTAATATTTCCATAATCACTAAGAAGAACTTTTAACATTACTGAGAGGACCAGGTTGGGTGACTTATCTCTGTGTTTAGTCACAACTAGGAGAACTTTTGTGGTAAAGTTCGTCAACCACCCATAGGAAATGTTGAAAACAGTAATGACAATCACTACACTGTTCTGTCCCTGACATTGTGAGTCAGGAAATGGATTATTTTATTTGATTCTTCCCAAAGCTCTGTAGGATCCTTATTGCATGTCCTATTGAACAGATGGAAAAGCTGAGGCTCACATGGCATGAAGTTATAAGGCTAGGTCTCTCACTTACAGCAGAAGGTCATCCCATAGTGTTCCAGCCCAGCCACTGATCTCAGTACAGTTGTATAGCATGGGCATCAGTTGTACTGAGATCAATTAGGGTAATGCTTGAATGGGTCCTACTTATTAGGGTACTACGAATGGATCTCATCTGTTATAGTTGAGTTGTTGGACTTCATTACAGTGGACCCCATTTGTTCTCAATGTGGAACAGAAGAGCCAGGAGAGAAGCCTAGTCATATTTTACCGCCATCTTTTAATTTGCCAAACTAAGCAATTGGCTGGACATAATATTCCCCAAGTGAATTGACAAAACCTTACGTCTCTCTCCTTGATTTGCACAGCTCTTGGACTCCCATAGGGCTCAAATGATGTGTAGCATTTACAGATGGTGCTAGCACTTAGTGGTAATTCCTGATTGGTTTTTCTGGTAGGCGCCCAGTGCTTCCTCTCAGAAGGAGCCAGAACTGGTCCCTGCCCTTGTCCTTGGTATTCTGTGATGAGAAGTAAACTCATTTGCTAAGTGTTTCTGGCTCCGTGAATGTCGGGTGTCTTTAGGCCCTGAAAGTAGGGAGCTTGTGAATTTTATCCTCCTGTCTTGCATCTCCAGCCCCCCTCCCCTTCTCCACTCCTCTCACTCTATTTCTCCTCTCCTCACCTTCAGTACAACACATTAGAATAAGCATTGGAGTTGTGTAAGGAATCCATCCAAATAGCGCAATCTTTTGGACATAGAAGCAACCTTATAAATATATTTTAAAAATCAAGTAACATAAAATTAATCAAAAGCTTTGCAGAGAACACAGCCAGTTTTAGTTGTTCAGAAAATATAGCTTAAATGGGTGAAAACACATATCTTGTCCAACCACCTGCATTTTCAGCTTCTACTTTCAAAGCAGAGAAAGACTAAAATTCTAATATGAAGAACATTTCCATTAAGGGAATTTTTTTTTTAACTGAAAAAAATGAAAAGCTCAGAAAAATCTTCCTTTGGGGAAATAAACCATGGTATAAATCTATGATAGTTACTTTGGAAGGGTAAAATATTTATCAGTTTCCATAGCTCTTGTTTATTTTACAAAATGTGCTCCAAAGACACAAGCCTTTGTAGCGGGCACAGAAGGGACTAGAAGCCACACACAGGATGTCCCTCTCTGTGGAGCTGGTGGTGGGACACCATGCTGGCAGGCCCTGTGTCAAGGGAGAACTGCATCCGAGAATCCCATGGCTAGGAACCTCCTTACCTCTTCCTCAGTCTCTGCTGTCCTGCTATAGGGCTCATTCATTTGCATTCATTCAAATTCTCAGGCACCATGGTGGTGGGTGGTGGATGACTTGTGTGTGTCCCTTCTCTGGCTTTGAGTTTTGAACACTTTGGTTTTTCTCGACCATACTCCAGGGAGGCATCTTGTGGCATCTCTATTTACTTTGACCTGCAGCTGGCTCCTCCACCTGGTCTGTTCAGATGGTAGTCATGCCTCTGCCTGCCACCTGGCAGATGACAACCTTTGGCATGGGCCTGTGCAGGAGTGCCCTCTGCTGGCAAGTTTGCTGTGTAGCCTGGCCAGGCTAGTAGAGCGGCCTCCAGCAGGCTTACTCATCCTTAGCTTTGTTGGGGGCCATTGATTCTGTGTCCTGACTTTGGTAGGTTTTCTTCAAACTTCCTGGGAAGACCAAAAACCCTGGAGAAGGATGATGAACACCATGCTGTGCCCAGGCCACCCCAGGCCCAGCCCTGCTTGTCCACAAGGACATTCCTTCCTCTTTATCCTTCTGCAATTTCTTTCCTCTTCCTCTTTCAGTTCCCACCTGCAATTTCTTTCCTCTTCTTCTTTGCCAGGTCCTTCCCAGGCTTCATAAGCATGTCTTTGTGACACATCTTTGACCCACCCATCCCTCATGAAAATTTTCTTTATGCTTATGTGTTTTTCATTTTTGAAAATGGCTTTATTGAGATATAATGTGCGTATTTAAAATGTACAATTTGAAGGATTTTGACCCATGTGTTCATCCATAAAACCATCATCATAATCAAGGTGATGAATTTCCATTAGCCTCAAAGTTTCCTTTTGTCTTCTTCTAAATCCATCCCCTAACTCTAGACAATCATTAGTCTGTCTGCTTTCTTTTTAATTTTTATTATTATTTTTTTTGTTGCTGGTCTGCTTTCTGTCACTATAGATTCATTTACAGTTTTTGGAATTTTATATATGTAGAATCAGGCAGTGTGCCTGACTTTCTTCATTTGGCATAATGTTTTTGAGATTCCTACAGGTTGTGTGTCTTATTAGATGGTTATTTTTCATTGCTAAATAGTGTTCCACAGCATGCACATATCACTAATTATTTCTCTCATTCAACTTTTCATGGATGACCTTTATTTCCTCAACTCTGTTATTAGTTTTTGGGACTGATCCCAGACAAGTGTGTCCAAACCTTCCCAGGGTAGATGCTGTGGCTCTGGATGAGAGGTAGTTATGGTACAGCAGCTAAATCTGTTGCATCTAGAGACTGAATGCTGGGTTCTATGTGACCTGGTTAAGTTACTTAATTTCTCAGTATCTCAATTCCATCATTTTATACAAGATAATGATAGTAACTTATCCCATAGGGTTATTATAAGGAAGATAAAGTAATGGATGTAAAACCCTTAGAGAAATATCTTGAATATATTTAATGTTAGTCACTATTTGAGGTACAGAACACAGTGGTTAAAAACATGAATTCTGGGTTTGAATTGTAGCTTTGTTGCTTGTACTCTGTAATCCTGAGCGAGTGCTTTAGCTGTATCATTCAAAAAGTGGAAGTGTGGGGATGAGAAGACAGTGGAATGAGACAGACATTATTACCCTATATCCATATGTGATTGCACGACCGGTGTGACTCTGCATCGTGTGCAGCCAGAGGAATGAGAAGTTGTGCTCCATGTGTGTCAAAATGCATTATGCTTTCCTGTGTATCTAATTAGAACAAATTAAAAAAATGTAGGGATGACGTGAGTGATTTAGATAAAGCCCTTGAAACAGTGGCACACAGCAGATGCCCTTGAAATGTTAGCTGTTAGGGTTTGAGTGACAAGTGACCAGGGCAGGCTCTGAGGGTCTCACCCTGAAGGAGGAGGGAGCACCTGGGGGAAGGGTGCTCCCCTGGAGGTCTCTGATCTTCCTTCTTTCCAGCTGACTATGGAAGCAGAAAGAGTGAGCGGGGCTTTCTCAACCTGGGGATGTTTTAGAGGTTTTTGAGCTTACTGAGTAAGAATGTGTTTTTTCAGGGGCAATTTAGCTTGAATTTGATTTCAAGTTTCTATTTAATCTGGTATCTGAGTACAGAGACAGGCCAAGTCCTACCTCCGCATCCCTATTTGTGGAGCTCGTCGCTCTGCACCAGGCCCTGAACTAATCACAGCGACCACTCCTCACGGCAGTCCTGGGGGCYGGCGGAGCACCCTCGTCTTCCATGGAGGAAGGAAGCCCGTGCTGGAGTTCAGGTTCCTTATGCTGTAGGGCTGCGTGCGACTGTGAGGAACTCGCCTCTTGCTTTGGGCAGACCCTCATCTGAAGACTCAGAGATCTGTGCCCAGATCTGCTCAGTTCTGGCATCAACAGGATGAGGGTTTGAAGAGCCTGTTCCTCTCCTCAGCTCTTTCTACCCCCTTGTCTCAAGTTGATTCCAGACATAAATGGATTTCCTCCCCAAGCTACATCCCAGCTTCCCCTTCAGCTTGGGAAATGCCTAGCAGTGTGACATAGGGCTTTCATTTTCTTGCTTTGCTGGGTTTCAGCACTACTATCAGAGAAAGCTTTAGGGAAAGTTCTGGAGTTTTCTAAAAATCTATAGTTGGTTCTTTCTCCCTGACTTTGCAAAGCGGTGTGGTAAGGGTCTTTCTCACGACCCCTAAGTTTCTCTAGCATCTTGCCTCTCGGAACCTCACAGCCTCCTTTCAACTTGTTCATTGTGTGGCTCTGACAGAGAGATAGGTCAGGAAAGGTCCCTTGTGATAGGAAAGTGGGCCAGAGGTGAGGTGAACTGACGTCCATAAAGTCCAGGGCTTTGCACTCTGAAGTGTCCTGTGCTTTCTCTAAATCTCATTTTCTCCTTAGTTCCTAGAGAGCTGGGTTCCAGACAATCAGCCCTGTCAGATCTGCACCTGCCTCAGTGAGCGCAAGATCAAGTGCATGTCGCAGCCCTGCCCCACTACCAAAGGTCAGTGAGTTCTCTCTGCAAGGTGCTCCTGGGGGAAGAAGAGGTCTTTGGGGCACCTCCATCCATCCCATCTCAGACATGGACATGGCAGACCATATCCAAACATGGTGCATGGACTTGATTTTCTTGACCAACCCGCATTCCCCACTGTTGGTCTTGGGTCCCGTTTTTTACCTGGAGTAGATACTCCAAGATCTAATCCCACCGTCCTATTCCCCACCTTGGCATCAGACCCTGGAGCATAACTTTTGAGGGTGTCAACAGGACATACTGCAGATACTCATCTTGTCCTGGTGCCATGTCCTGAATCTATGTGGGACTCCTGTGCAGGGCCTGTGCTGGTTTTCTGTGAATGGGAACATTTGAAACCCTTCTCTAGACTGGGCCATTATTTATTTCTCTGACTTTTGTGACTGTTCTCATCCTCCAGCTCCCACATGTGGTTCTTGTGAAGTGGCCCGACTCCATCAGAATGCAGACCAGTGCTGCCCAGAGTATGAGTGTGGTATGTGTCCCACCTTGCATGTTCCTATTGTCCCCAAACCCCAGGTGAATGATGTCCCGAGTGCCCAAAGCTTGGATATGCTGTCAGGCACAGGGTGTGAGAAGGTACATGGGTAAGGCCTAACTGGATTTTCAAAAATTAACACCTTTGAAATACCAGATTTTCATCCTAGAAAAATTCTATAGTACAGTATGTGTACGTGGGGGGGTTGGGGTGGGTTGGGGCTGGGGAGTACCACTGGGGATTGAGCCCAGGGCCTTGCTCATGTTGGACAACTACTGTAGAACTGAGCTGCATCCCCAGCCCCCATAGTACAGTATTATATGCAATATTTAAGAGCATTAATCAAAGGGTGGGGTGGTTACTGCAGGGTGGGGCAAGAGAGATTTCCTGAAGAAAAGGCATACTGCAGTATCCCATTGTCCTTTTCAATAAGATTTTAAGGACACTAGATGTAGAGAAGGCCAGATCCCCAGGCACCTTGACTTCAGCAAGCTGATGGAGGGTTGCATGATAGGCTTGCAAACTATGAAGCCCATGGTGGAACCAATGAAGGTGTAACTCAATGAACTCAGAGTGGATGGAACGAAGGTTCACACGACAGGAAAGCTCTAGTCTTCTTGTGCCTCATAATGTGCTTATGAACTATATAGAGGAGGACATAACACACAGGCTTATAAAATTTGCAGTGATGTGAATCTTTAAGGGAGAGCAAATAGTCCAAGGAGAAAGAAAGTTTAGAAAAGAATCCAGTAATCCGAGAAATTTATGTTGGTAAAATTTATCAGAATAATGAGACTTCTTATGCAGGAGGGAGCTCTGACTTGAGAATAATTTTTTTAAAAAAATATGATCTTAGGATGTTAGGAGTAGAGAAAACTGGAGGGGCTATTTAGCTCAAGATCCTCATTTATTGACATTATTAAATACCTACAATATGCAGGAACTTGACTTTTATTATTTCATGACATCCTAAGACTAATCCAATAAAGTTTCCATATTACAGAAGAGGAAACTGAGTCTAGAGAATTAAGACTGGGCTAAGATCTTTAAGTACTAGCAGATGAAAAGAACAGTCAGTAAGAGCTTACTATAGGGCTATCTCTGTGCCTGTCTATGTACCTATGTAAATCTCTCTCCCCATCTCTCTATCTAATCCATCACTCCCATCTCTTTCTCTCTTTATCATCATTTGTTTTCTTTTTTTTGGGGGGGGGATACTGAGCCACATCCCCAGTCCTATTTTATATTTTATTTAGAGACAGTTGCTTAGTGCCTTGTTTTAGCTGAGGCTGGTTTTGAACTCCCAATCCTCCTGTCTCAGCCTCTGGAGTGCTGGGATTACAGGCATGTGCCACGGTGCCCAGCTCTCTGTCACCATTTCTATCTTATCTATCTTTATTGATTATCACCATCTGCTTAAAATTGTAGGAGTCTGCATGAATAGGAACATAGACTCCCCTTCACAGTAACAAAAGGACCACCCTTCTGAGCTCTGTGTGAAACTCTCTTTCCTGGCCCTCAGTGTGTGACCTGGTGAGCTGTGACCTGCCCCCGGTGCCTCCCTGTGAAGGAGGGCTCCAGCCAACGCTGACCAACCCCGGCGAGTGCAGACCCAACTTTACCTGTGGTGAGCCCTCCACTTTTCTCCTTTGTATTCGTGTTGCTATTTCTCTGTAGACTCACTGCTTTTGGGTATAACTGAATATCCTGCAGCCCTGAGCTGGGTGCATGTGAATGTCTGACTTAGTATCCTGGGTCTGGAGTTGCCCGGGACACCGTGTTAGAGCTGAATATGTATGAACTGTGGCGGAGTGCAGTCCTCCGTGTGGCAGGACTGAGGGTGTCACCCTGTGTGCCCTTCAGTCTGCAGAAAGGAGGAGTGCACAAGAGAGTCCCCACCTGCCTGCCCCCCACACCGGACACCTGCCCTTCGGAAGACCCAGTGCTGTGATGAATATGAGTGTGTCTGCAATTGTGTCAACTCCACTGTGAGCTGCCCACCAGGGTACCTGGCCTCGGCCACCACCAATGACTGTGGCTGCACCACAACCACCTGCCTTCCTGACAAGGTAGGGACAGCTCACCTTTGGCAGGGATAATGCTTACTCCTCAGTGATGATTTGCATCTACTCAACCCCTCCCTTCCTGCTCAAACCAAATACCACATAGGTTGGTGGGTGGAATCAGAATTCCATCTCGCCTAAATTCAGTTAACTCTATTTACAGTGAATCTACTGTGTCTTCTTCATGGCTAGGTGGTTACAATCAATCATGGTTTTTTACCTCTAAAAAGCTTGTTTGTAGGTTAGCTAAGGAAAAATATGATTGCATGTATCATTTAGAGATCAGTTAGTAGTTTATTTATGTGCTCATGCTGTCAATTCATCTATCCCTCCCTCTGTCCATTGCCCAGCCAATATTTGCTGATCAACGACTATGTTCTGACAGAAGTGGTACTGTGTCAGGTGCTGTGCGAGCAATATAAGATACGGTCCCCACTTACGATCTCATTAGTGTATATGATAACAGTCTCTCAACTGGAAAATAAAGGGTCAGTGGCTGGTTCAGATACTAAATATAAATAGCAGTCTTGAAGGATCAACTAAGATTAGCTGCTGGGAAAGACTGAATTGGGGGGTGGGGATGAGGGTGGAGAGTGGGAAGGGAAAGCAAGTGTTGGGGAGTGGGACTTGGAATGAGCCTTCAGTGGGCAGATCCGAGCACAGTCACAGCTGCTGGATTGAGGGTGAGTGACAAAGAGTAGCTCCCTGGAGCTCCTTAGGACTACACCAAAAACTCATTTGCCTGGAATGCTCTAGATCTCTGCTCCTCTTGGGATACTCTTCAAGCTTGAGGTCTCCYAGCACACATCTTCTAGGGACGCAGGTGCAAGTTTAGGAGGCAGCCGTTGCTGCTCCTCATGGGTCTTTTCTGGTGCTCCTCTTCTCGCCCCCTCCTCCTTGCTCTTCTATTGGTCTTTCCTGTGTCTTTTTAACCTATAGCAACCCCAGTCCCATTTTTAATGCCTTTAATTCACTGGAGAAGCCAGGTCATTTGTCCTAGAAGATGTCATGCACTCTCAATTTGGCTGACAGCTTCCTCATGGTGTTCTTTACTATGTTCTTCCATTAGCTTTATTTCTACTAAACTAAAAATTAGACCCAGGGTATTATTTTCATGCACATTTGATTTTGGTGGGGCAAAAATGCCTCATAGATGATGCTGTGTACCTCTTATGGCATCATACCGTGAGGTACATAATGTCCAGTTGGCCCACTGTTAATGATAAGACTGGGTTCAGGTAATATCAGTCTATTTCTGCATCAGGAAGTTTATCCCACCTCCATTCCTTCCAATAGTAAGAGTCATCGGTGTTGCTCAAGAATCAGTATATCATGAGGGCTTGAAAACTTGTGACTTTTATCTACCTGACTCATTATTATGTATTTATTGGCTTGAATTCTTCCAATAGAACATTCCCCCATCTACTTTTGGTTACCCTGAAATAGAATTACTTTAGGTAAGGGGATGAGGGTAAATGCTTGAGCTAAGGTATCTTGGAGATAGCCTAGAGGTAAGATTCTGGGTCAAATGGTGATCATTTTCTAAGAGACGTTTTAATAGAAGAACAAGGTATCTCTGTGAACAGGTGCATTATACAGAAGCTAGAAGACTGAGTAGGTATAGGATCAGTAAATGAGGGTGGAGACTGTTCTGCATAGTTTTGGAGGGTATACTTGTGATTAATATCAAAATTTCAAAACTTGTCTCTGGATCAAACAGCTTCTTTAATACCTCATTCCAACAAACTACACCTGAGCATACATTCCTGGCTTTAAATGTCCCAATTTCATCCAGTCTTTGTAATTTCGTCTCTCGTCTCTTCTACAACCTATGATTCTTCCAGATAAGATCCATTCTCTCAAACATAGCCCGTATTGTGTTCCAAAATCTTTCCTTCTTATGTTCCTGTCACTGTGTGGGGAGCGGGAGGTTCACACACTCAAAGCACCTCCCCACCTTCTTTTACTTCAGTCTGTTCCTAAGGGGACAGATGCAGGTGGGTTTCAAGTCCAAGGACATTCCTGGGTCTGAGAACTTGGGTATAGCTTTTTTGTGACCTAAGAAGAAGTTCAATGTTCAGTAATGAAAATGGGCCAAGGCAGCCAGTTGTTATATTCAATCCTGTGGACCATGAAGGACTTACAAGGGACCACCCTCAAGGATGGGCTGGGGATGGCTTTTCTAAGGCTGGTGGGCGGGGAAGGGAAGAACACAAAATCTCTGAAGCACCTCTCCACATAGAGACCAGACTAGCTTTATTTCTTGCTGTTTCCTCAGCACCTAGATCAGCTTCCACACAGTAGATGGTTACTGACCGCTTGCTTAAATGCATCCAAAGAGTTCACTCACAGAAACCTCGTGTCTGCAGGTGTGCGTCCACCGAGGCACCATCTACCCTGTGGGCCAGTTCTGGGAGGAGGGCTGTGACGTGTGCACCTGCACAGACATGGAAGATGCTGTGATGGGGCTGCGCGTGGCCCAGTGCTCTCAGAAGCCCTGTGAAGACAGTTGTCTGCCGGTGAGTGGGGCACAAAGGCTGCGTACTGCATGGGACCACTGGATGAGGAAAGTAGGAGAGGGGATCCCAGAAGGGGGCAAGAAAGGCCCTGTGGTAACCTCTGGTTCAAAGCCAGAAAGTGCAAGAAGGAGGAGGAGAATAGGTCTGAGTTAGAAGAAGGAAGCATGAGAGAAAAATTGCTATGTCATCCTTCCATGATTTGATCCTTGGCTAACGGCCATGCCTGCTGTGTGGTCTTAGGCGCAGAGGACTGGCAGAATTGGTTTGAGCAGATGTAGAAGAGATTAAATGCCCAGAGAAGAGGACCTGATTTTTCTCTCTCTCTTCCACTTTCAGTCGCCACCTTAGCTTATCCCCAGAGCAGACATATGTTCTGAATTTTCTATGATTGTTCAAGTTTCAAGGCACCACAGCATTTCTAAATAGGATGGTGGGTTTTGGGACTGTGTTTTTAATTTGAGGTACAGGAAACATGATCAGTGTTCCCCAATTCAATTTGTGGTGGCCTACCTCTAAGATCCCCTAGTTTTGCACCTTGAAGACTCATCAGACCTTAGAGGAAGGGAGCAACAGTCTTCATGGAGAATCGTGGGTCAAACTCTGCTTGTTGGCCTATTGCTGTTGTTGCTTTCTTTTTATCACTAGTCATGTTAAAGGAAGAGGTTCCAGGGCAGGCAAGCACACACATCTTGTGGATGCTTTTGTAAATGCTAACAGCAGTGAAGGCCATACTCTTGATGCTGCTTGGTGATAGAAGGGAGGRTCTAGGAGTGAATTCAGAAATGGGAGAGCCAGTCAGGTCACCTGCCATTCTCCCTGCATTGCTGATACTGAGGTTGAGTGGAACTGTGAGGCATCTTTGAGAGATGACGGTACTGTGGAATCCAGGTGTGACTTTTGGGAACACTAAATTATGGAAACTCCTTGGTCTCCATCTCCTTCCATAGGCCATGGGAAGTGATGGCAATATCTTGCTGTCAAACAAAGAGAGTGTGTTTAGAGGTCATTTTTATAAAATTTTTTACCCAGTACATTTGGTTTTAGTAGGGAATTTTGATTGCAAAGTCTAGAACCCACTTGAGCTAACCAAAATAAAAAGACGGTTTGTGGAAGAGACACAGAGGAATCTCCTAGAAATAAAAGGTGAGACAAATGGTCATGACATTTCTGTCCAGGGGTCCCATGAATCCCTGTCTTTTCTCTCCATCCATCTGCTTCTGCTCCTCACTGCAGACCAGCTTCCTCTATGAAGAAATTGTACTTTCTTATAAATTTCATTTGTGTATAAGTTATGGAATCTAGTTCCAACTCCACATGGTTTTTAGACCCAGGGCTCATCCCTGTCCAACCTGACTTACTCAGTCCAGGTTCCATGGAATAACTTTTTAGAAAGAGATTCAATGGGCTCCATTCAGCCCATGGATGGGTTGCTCTGTCCAGTTCCCACTCTGGTCCAGTCGAGTGTTATATGTGGTATGAACCTGGATGTCCACTGTGGTCTGCTGTGGTGCTGGAGGCAACTCAAAAAGAAGATGGGTACAGAGGTCAGGGAAATGAGCRGAAGAGGAAAGAGTCTGGAACTCTTGGCCTCAGATAGCTCTAGGCRATGAGAGTCCATTATAATTTTATGGGATCACAGTCATTACCCAGGCTGTTGTTGACTGAAATGTCATTTTCTGGCACATGATTATATTTTATTCATCCTCATGATGTATCTCAGGAGGAAAAAAGAGGGAAGGCTATTTTTCCCATTTATCAGAGAGAAGAAACAAAGAAATAGCATAGGGAATGGAGTTGGCTACTGCTCCTCAGCTCCTCTGATGCCAGTAGGAACTGGAGCCTGGGGCTTGTTCTGTTAGGCTGGTGCCACTGGCAACTCCAGTTTGCAAGGGTCAGTGTGGTCCATGGAGAGGGAAGAGGTCTTCAGACTGTGCTCCTCAGATGGCCTCAGCAGGGACAAGGGACCCAAGCTCCATGTTTCCAACTTCCATATCAGTTATGGCAACCATGCTTCAAGGATCGTGCTGCCTCATTAATTAGGAATGTATCTTCTGGCGATGTATATCTTCAGGTTGGGTGGATATTATATCAACTTAGCTCCATTATTTAAAAAAATGGTCTAAAAATTTTAGTGCATATAACATAGTTTTCTGCATTTCAATCCCCAGTACTATCCCCTTTCATTTCTTCCTTTCTCCTCCCCAATTCCCTGTCTCTATTCTAATGGCATTTCTCCTATTTATTTATTTTTTTATCAATGCATGATAATTATAACGTATAAAATTGGAATGCATTGTGGTATATTCATACATTCACCTAGCGTGATTTGACAGAAGAGAGTAAGGGGAAGGGTCTGAGATGTGTAGTCTGATAGGACATTGATAATATACTCATGATATACTCATTGGAAAGTAAGGGAAAAGAAAATGGTGAAAATATAGGATGAGCTCTGGTTGTACAGCAAGTAAATGGCGTTGCTGGTGGTGTGGAGGGGAATCTTGGAAAGATGGGAATTTTGGTGGCATGGTCAGCTGCATCTTAGTGTGAGACATGGATGAGGTCTTTGGGTTCAAGGTATTTGGTCTGGGAATCATTTGTGACATTGACAGTGTGCTTGCCCCCGGTGGGATGCAGCAGAAGACAAACAGGGTGCACACCTCAGATCACTCCTACAGCAAGGCTCATAGGAACAACATCAGATCCCTCTGAGTATTGCTTACTCTCTCCTGGGTTCCCTGGAGTCTGTTTCTTTTATGGCATTTCATWTGTTCAGCCGTATGGTAGGTTGTGYGGTGTATCATCCTAATTTGAGGTACCTAGTACCTCTTCAACGCACAGTAAATGACTAAAATCTCAGCTGATAAAAAAGACTGGGGACAGCTTCCTGCGCACTGCTCTGACGTGGGTAGGGATGTCAACAGGTCCCACGGAGGTGGTGTGGGCTTGAGCCAAGTCTCTAGAGTGCTTGGGCTGTCCTGAGGGAGGTAACGTTGTGCACCTCTTCTGATTTGGCCCTGCTTGTGCGTGCGTTTGGGAAGCCAGGCAGGCTTCACGTCCCGCCCCCCCCCCCCCCCCCCCCCCCGACAGCCAAGGTTATTGCTTCTCTCTTAAAGGACATTGCTCCAAATTGAAGCCTTGTCCTGGGTCTTTGCCCATGGCTCCTCATGTTCATTGTCTTGCCTATTGTTTGTTACATAGATATTTAGAGGAAGGTTTCCATCCAAATTCCTAATGCTTTGGAGGAACTTGAGGCAAGATGAGCCAACACACTGCCAGGATACTGGGCTCCCTGTTAGGTTTTCTGGAGAAAGTTGAACTCTTTTTCTTTGTTTCTTTACTGTACTCCTTAACTCTAGGTAATTGCCAAGTAACTTGCAGGGAAAGCCCATCTCCTCACAGTGGTACATTAGCTTTCTGTTGCTGTGGCAAAACACTTGAGAAAATAACTTAAAAAGAAGAAAGGTTTATTTTGGTTTACAGTTTCAGAGATTTAGTCTGTGCACAGTTGGCTCCTTGCTTTGGGGTCTAATATGAGGCAGAACATATGTCAGAGTTCATAGTGGAACAAAGCTGCTCACCTCATGGCAGCTGGGAATGAGAGAGAGAGAGAGAGAGAGAGAGAGAGAGAGAGAGAGAGAGAGAGAAAGAAGAGAAGAGAAGGGGTCCGGATATCCCCTTCAAGGACACACTTCCAATGAGCTGACTTCCTTCCACTGGGTCATATCTTCTAAAGGTCTTACCACCTCCTAGTAGGGTCATAGGCTGATGATCAAGCCTTCAACATTTAGGATTCAAACCATGCAAGTGGTAAGAAATGCTGGGATCAGGGCATTCACCTGGTAGAAGTGATCAGCCCTGCGTATTCTCCCTAGTCAATGATGGGCCCTAGATTTGGCCCCAGCAGAGACTGTGTTAGCTGTTGGACTAGGTCTTGGTCTCAAAAGCAAACCTTGACAAGGGCAGGCTCAGTCTCTTCAGCTGGTGTAAGACCCAGCTTAGTGGTTCAATGGTTGATGCTTCTAACCACTTCTTCACATGGTCCTGAGGCTAGTGGGCAACAGAGATGAACGTTTCTAGTCCAAATGTTTCTGCAAACCCCAGGGCTCAGTGCATGTGAGCGGAGGGTAAGAACACCTGTGTCTTAGCTGCTGGCCTGTTGTGACTGCTCTTTCTGTTTTCCAGGGCTCCACCTATGTCCTCCATGAAGGCGAGTGCTGTGGAAGGTGCCTGCCATCTGCCTGTGAGGTGGTGACCGGATCACCACGGGGGGACTCCCAGTCTTACTGGAAGAACGTAGGTCTAGACCCTAGGGAGAGTGGGAAGGAGGGCAGCAACTGACCAGCCTAGGAGTCCTTTCTGTGGTCCAGTGTCAACCTGGGTTTCGTCTCACTCTCTGCCTTTCACTTTCCCCATGGGGTGTTTAACCCAGCTGCTGGTATTATTTGGGTACCAGCTGGGTTTACCTTACCACTTAAAAGCTAGGTAAAGATGTGTCAGACTTCCCATTTTGTGGATTTTTTTTGAGAACCCAATGCCCTCTGTGAGAGTTCCATGAACTCCCAGGGGACTTGTACTCTCCTGTCACCTGTGAATCTAAGGCCGTGCATCCCCTGGGTGGTTGGTTTAGGGATGGCTCCACCATCCTGCATGTGTTGTTGGCCCATCACCCCTCCCAAAACTCCACAGGCTACAAGTACTGTTTGGTGCCACAGCAACCCAGGCCTCAGGCCTTTTCACTAATTTCCATTGAAACCTCCCTGATGGTTTTAAGGAGGTGGAGAAATTTGTAACTCAGGGGAGCAAACAATATCTCGGCTTCCAAAGTCCCTCTGCTATTTCTGGAGGTCTGGGTGTGGTATCTTGCCATGCTGTTGACCCTCCAGTTCCCCACTCTTGCATTCCCCTGTCCAGTCCCCCAACCCAGCCTCTAATGTACAGCAGATTAGCTGTCTCCCTTGGGCCCCACGTGTTCACTTAAACTTGGGTGCTTACTGAGCCATTTTCCTAATCACAGAGGATTTGCTCTTAGGGAATTTTAGTCTTATGTCAGGACACAACGAATCTTTTCTTCTGATTAGAAGGAATAGCTGGGGAGTGTTAAGCTCTGGCAGCCTGAGGGACAGGTAATATAAGGGATCCACATGCGCCTTCCCCTCTGGCTCCTGTATATATTTTGTTTAACAGAGAGGAAGGCAAAGGGTTAATTGTCTTGCCCCAGATAAGTCCATCTCCAACCCAAGCCCATCACCATTCTCCTCCTCAGAGAGGGCCAAATGACTCATTGAGTTTTTCAGATGGGTGTCTATTGACCCCTTAGAGTCCAATTTACATTTGGGTTTCCCTTCGGTGTGTCCCCCTTTGCCACCCTATTAGTTTTTCTGTCTCCCATCCATCCTGGACTGAGGCAGGCTTTGTTCCTCTTACCAAGAGGCAAGGCCAGCTCAGATCAGAGGCTGGTCCATTCTAGTGGTGGCTGTACACTGATCCCTTTGGAGCTCAGTATTCTGCCCCTTCCCTGTCTTTAATGTCCCATCCCAAGGCTCACACAGCCCTGTCCCACATCAGTGTTTGCAAGACACAAGGTAACCTGAGTGTCTCTCCTCCAACTTGAGTCTCCATCTTACCTACAAGACTTGGGTGTGGCAGTAGTTTTGCTGCTGGGAGCATGTCAGGGACCAGTGGGTTGAGCAGGAAAGGGTTCTCTTAGTGGGGCCCATGGCCAAGGCTCAACAGAGGCCTGACGTAAGAGGGTTTAATCATGGTGAGTCAGAATAGGAAGTGGAGAGAATGCTGTATCTGGTATCTTCCGCTCCTCATCTGGAACAAGAAGAAAATGATCAAGGATTGGGGGGAGTAGGCCAGGACCTGAGGTGGCCAGAGGGAGGCAATGTGTCTGGTTGCTGCCCACTCAGACAACGCTCATTCTCAGGATTTTTGTAGGCAGAATCTCCTGGAGACTTTTCTGGACCATGGTCTGGGGCTTTTCAGTTCTCTTTGCTATGGAGCCAGTCTCTGATGCCAGGCTACCCATCTGCAGGCCCAGGTGCTTCAGGAACAGATTGCAGTGCTGTAGGGATCTGGGGCCAGCATCTCCAGCCTCCTGCCATCTCCCCATCTCCCCACATGAATAGGAAGTAGCACTAGGCTGGGAAATGGTTGGACTTCCTCTCTGCCTCTCTTCTGCTGCTTCTTGCCATTAAGTGTCTGATCTTAGCTCAGAGCCAATAATGAGGATGGCAGAGAGCGTCCCTTGGCTTAACTCACGTGGGTGATGATGGTGGCTGCAGGGGAAACTTGACTCTAGGATCTTGTTTAAGGTGACTTTGACTCACTGAGATGAGCCCCATGGATTCCCTCTGTGGCTTACCCTGTGGGTGCGACTTGGGTCCTGAACTGGAGTTCACCTTTTGGGCCCAACCAGCTCCCTGTGAACAGTACACTGCCTTTGGGACCTTGGGCCCAAGCCTTGCCTGGCTCATTTTGACTGCCTCTGGTATTCTGCAGGTTGGCTCTCACTGGGCTGTGCCTGAGAACCCCTGCCTCATCAATGAGTGTGTCCGAGTGAAGGAGGAGGTCTTTGTGCAACAGAGGAACGTTTCCTGTCCCCAGCTGGAAGTTCCCATCTGTCCCACGGGCTTCCAACTGAGCTGTAAGACCACAGAGTGTTGCCCCAACTGTCGCTGCGGTAAGGCATGCTGCCCAGAGCCTGGGCTGGGCCTGGACCCTCCTTCAAACTCTTTCCTCTTTTGGCTCCTGAATTCTTTGTCTTGTTAGCAACTCAGGGAAATGGGCAGGACCCAAATCTTCCCATCTGTTCTTAATGCACTGGTGACAGTAAATTAAAGGAGAGAAACAACAGTTTCCTGGAGGTCACTGAGTGCTCAGCTCTGTGCTCCAATGATGGCTCCTGGTCATTACTGCATACAGTTGTCATGGTGTTATTGAGTGGTAGAACTGGGATTTGACCCCCGGCTCCTCTGATTCTGGAGATCATCTTTTCAATCATGCTGCATTGCTTCACTGAGGGAAAAGTATTTCAACTGGCCACCCCTAACCCAGCTGGCAGAACAAATGGAATCAGCAACAAAACCCAATGCTTGCCATCACTTTGCTCTGAATTCTCTATGAGAGTTTCTCTTGGGACTGAAAATTCCAAGAGTAGAATTTTACTCTTTCATAAACTCAAACACCTTCCCATCTCTACCTTAAGTATAAATTCACATAGACAAGCACCATCCTTTGAGAATGCATGAGGCTCTTCTCACTGCAGGCCGGGTGGGGAGGAACCAGGGAGCCCTTTGCTTCCTTTCCAGGATGTGGGAAAGGAGGCCGCTGTGGGACCCACAGTGCATGGGAGTTGGCCCAGCAGAAGGACCAGCAGATCGCAGAGGGAGGCTGGCCGGTGGCAGGGAAGTCCCTGAGGGGAACAGGCCTGTGCCTGGTTTTGGGAGGGTGTGTTTGCACTCACATTCTGTGCTTCTCTCTCCTGCAGAGCCTGTGGAGGCCTGTATGCTCAATGGCACCATCATTGGGGTAAGTTGCTGACCTCTTCTCTGGAGAGGACAGGGAAGGGGATTCAGGGTGGGCAACCCAGTCACTCTGAAGTGGAAATGAAAGAGACCTGTCAGAACTACCCCATGCTGCATTTTGTATGGCCTGTGGGTTTCTAGGCACCTGGAGCTGGACTGTCCTCCCCACTTTCTGGGGCCCAGTCCTGCTGTCATGCTTTCACTTTCCCCAGGCAGGTGGGCATTTCTTGTGCCCACAAAGAAGGACCCTGAAGTCACCGTGCACATTTCTGTGTCCCCTCTCCCACTGCTCTGGCTTCCTTTTTGGCATAAAAGTTCTCACAGTTATTTTCTCCAGGCTCAAGGTGGGAGGGCAGGAAGGGAGTGGGCCACCAGGACAGGAGGAGCAATGCCGTGATGGCTCAGGAAGCCATGGACACATGGGCAGACCCTGGCTTAAGGGGATGAGGTGGACGGGGGCGGGGCTCGGAATGCTGAGGAAGCTGACCCTGCTGTCTCTGCTTCCAGCCTGGGAAAAGTGTGATGGTGGACGTGTGCACAACCTGCCACTGCACCACGCAGGTGGGGGCCATCTCTGGATTCAAGCTGGAGTGCAGGAAGACCACCTGTGAGCCCTGCCCCGTGGTAAGGAAGGATCTGGGGGACCAAGGGACATGGTGGGATCTGAGAAATGGAACCTAACTGGGGTCTTTAAATAAACCTTGCCTTATTTTCTGATTATGGACAATCTTTGACAAGCATCAAGAAGAGACTAAAAAGGACTGAGGATGTGGCTCAGTGTTAGAGTGCTTGTCTAGCATGCACAAGGCCCTGGGTTCAGTCCCCAGCACTACCACAAAAGAAAAAAACAGGCGAGGAGGAGAGAGACTAAAAGTTATCCACCTAAATAGCATCTCTGGGAAATAATTATAATTTAGCCTTATACGTTTTAAACATTTTGTTTCTGTGTTTTTAAAATAAACAGCATTTGTGAGTGTTATGACATGTATTTACAGTTCTGCTGTATCTTTTAAAACACATTGAAGAAACATCATTACTCTTCCTTGAAAACATTCAAAATTAGTCAACAAATTCTTATCAGACACTTGTATAAGCCTCCTCAGAACATTTCCTTGAATGGATGTCTCTCAAAGCGTGCAATTAACCTTTTCTTACAGGGTGTTTAAGTGGTTTAAAATATTTCAGCCTGTTTCCCAAGTCATGACTAGGCTTAATCTAAATACTTGCATAAGGTGATTTCTAGTGTATCATGGTTACTGGTTTGGTAGATGAAAATTGATGATATTAATTGTATCTTAGTTTTATTTATTTTAAATAATTTTAATTGACATATAAGATTGTACATATTTGGGGGGTACCATCAATCTCAACCATTTTAATGATGATGTTCAGTTCCACCTGGCTGGGATGTCATGAGCTCCATGTAGGCAGGCAGGACCGAAACTCATGAGGAGTCCTTAGCTCTGCCTCAGGCTCCCCTCTGTGTTTGGGGTTTCTGCTGTTTTAGGAAATCCAGTGGTGAGAGGCGTTTCCTGAGCTAGATACCTGGAATACAGTCATAACTCAGGCAGTGTGAGGTGGGGCTTCTCCCCCTCACCTGTGTAAAGCAGCAGGTGGGGCTGTGTGAGGGGCCGGGAGGAGGCCTTCACAAGCACAGAGGGATGTCTGGAGGGGATGGGGACAGGACAAGACGCAGAGTGGGAACCAGGAGGTCATGAGGGTGCTTCCTTTTTAGACTAAATTATAATTGTTTCCCAGAGATGCACTTTGGTGACTTTCAGTCCCTCTCTTTCTCTCCCCTCTTCCTCCTTCTCCGCCCCCCTCCTCAGATGCCATGCCCTTAGGGATTGAACTCAGGGCTTCCTGAATGCTAGAGAACAGCTTTACAGTTTACTACGGAGTCATACCTCTAACCCTTTTTAATCTTTTAATAGTGGTTCTTATGAAGACAAGGGACAACGGTTCTACATCTGTGTTCTCCATAGCACTTAGCACTTGTATGTGTTTAAAACAACCCCCTAGAATATTCTGGGCTTTGATATGGAATGAAATAATGCTGTCTGGAATTACATGGCCTTCCTTTCACCTTGGTTGTCCACTGAACTACAATCAAGGCAGCGACAAGACAGTAAGAGGTCCACACCAGAGCCATCCTGAAGGAGAGGGGGCTGTGGCCCTCTACCTGGAGGGAGAGCCTGCTAATTTCCTCACAGTGCCCTCTGGTGTTCAAAAGGTGGCACAGTACCTTCCTGGGCCTTTGGAGAGATCCACCTTTACAATCTAGCCTAGGTGTAGGTTTCTAAATCTAAACTCGTGGCCTTTTTTGGATTTGTGCATTTTTCCTATTTTCCTGCAACATTCTGATATCTTTCCAGGTAGGGTTTCTCCCTCTTCCCTCTTGAGAACCCCTAGATTAACCTTCCTTCTATGCATCTCTCAAACTTTGCTGAAACCTGACTCAGTCGGCCCCATTCTAGCTCATCATCCTTAACAAGACTTAGTATGCTCCTCTGCTATGAAGGGCCTCAGTGAGACCACCAGGGGTTTGGGAGCTGTTGTGAATTAAGTCAAGGTAGGTCTGCTTGAATGGCCTCTGTCAGACTAAAGTCTTAGCATCATCTGAGYTGTGAGGCCTCTATTGCTTCCCAGGCTAGAAAATGCTTATATCTACAGGGAGACAGGAAAAAGGTGATTTGTGGTGYTGAGTGATAAAGATGAAGTTTGGCAGATAACATTCAAGAAAATGAGGAAGAGAGGCTGCCCTGTTATGAAGCACTCAGAAGGAGGAGAATGACCCTGAGATGACCTTGAGTGATAGGTTGAATGTTGAATGGAGGACCTTCCAGGATGGGGAATAGTGAACAACTGGCAGACAGAAGCAAAGATCAGAAAGGGGAAGCAGGGGGAGATAAGACGGAAGGGCCATGACAGCCAGAGGAACACATGAAAAGGGACATGATGGGGCAGGAGAAGCAGGATTAAGTGAGTTGCTAATTAGGCTAAACAAGAGAACTTTGTGGCTGGCTGGGAGCTTGGCTCAGTAGGAGAAGAAGCTGCTCTTTCCTGCAATGATTGAATGTTCTGGTCAAAGTCCATGTGGCAACACCCCTTTCTGCATATGGCGGCATGTGCCACACATAGCCACTGCTGGCAGCAGCTGGAAAGTCCAGCAGTGTTCCAACAAGCCCTCGGTCTGCACCATGTCTGCCCTCCAGAGAAGGTGTGGGAGAGTCTGTTTCCTGCATTCACTCTGTGCTGCTGCATCTCCCTTCCCTTCTCCTCCTTCCCCAAGTCCCTGCCATACCTGGAAAACCACTGTCCGGCTTCCTATTTTGCACTCCCTTCCCCTTTCCTTCTTCTCCCATCACTCCACTCTCCCTTTCTTACTGGCTCAACTTGACCTCTGCCTCCTGGGTGTGTGGATTTTCCTCCACTGMCCTGCCCCTTCCCATGATAGCCCCCTCCTCCTTTCGCCTCTGCCGCCTCATTTCGTTTGTAAAGATTTGGTCCATTATTTTATTCAGGYCCCACAGAGGGGTGGGCATTCCCGAGTCTCTTCTAACACTCACTAAAAATTGCCCAAATCCAAGCTCCCATGAAGTTTGGTCTCATTGAAGCCGTATTTGATTTCTTCAGTTTGACTCGTAAYCACTCACATTCACTCAATGCTTATTCCATCTCTTTTCTTCTTCTCTCATTTACCTCGGTCATGCACCTTCCAGGAATTGTGCATTTTAAAACACAACACTTTCAAGCTCACAACTGAAACACTACCTCATGGCTTTCAAACTCCAGCAGTATTCTTTCAAAGTGGTGTTTTTGGCTGGGGTCCAGTCTCCCTACTTTTGTGCCGAGCTCAAACCTCACTGGTCTCCTCCACTGCCAACTCCCTGAAGACACATCAAGTTCATAGCTTGATTTATGGGGAGCAAATTGTTTAAATTCACTTCCGAGCAAGCTTCCTGATGCCTGTCCTTGATCTCGTGATGCATCTTTCTGTCTGGGTGCTGAAACTGACCTGTTAAGAGATGCTTACTGGAAAGACCTCCAGACCCCAGTGTGTGGCTCTCCGAGTGGCAATTCTTCTGTGTGGCAAAATGAGAACAAGAATGACAACAGAGCTAGTTTTTCTCAGAACTAAATTCATTATTTAAATTTTATTTTGAGATTACATTTTTTTAGGGGAAGAGTAAGAAGAATTAAGAACTTTAATTTTTACCAAATGATGAGACAGCTGATGGTAGTTTTACAGTTTTTACCTTATTAAAATTGTTTCAAATACTCTTAGTCTGCAGAATAAAAAGTTGGCAACCTTATGGTGTCTTCCCACTTTGGGAGCATTTTTGCAAAAATAGTGAAATGCTGTGTCTGGAAGTTGCTACTTCTTCCCTTGCAGATACAGATGAAAGGCTTTCCCCATAAGCCACCATCCATAAGTTCCTAGCTGAACTCAGGGGTGCCCACTTAGTAACAGCTGCTGGGGAGACAACAGAGAGCAGTGTAGATATAAGTGGAAACTTAACATCCTTCTCCGGGAGAAGCCTCCTATTGCCAAGCTTTTAAATTTTAGCCATTGTGGAGTGATATCTTGGAGTGTTTTAAATTTGCATTTTTATGTTGACTAATGATGTAAAAGCATTTTATGTATTTATTTCCATTTTGTGAAGTGATGGTTTAATCTTTTTTAAAAAATCATTTTTAAGTTGGGGTGTTTGACTTTTTATTACAGAATTATATGGGTTTTTTCTTTATTTTAGATACTAGTTCATTATTACAATATTTTTTTCCCTCAGTGGTTCAGTTTTTATTTTTCTTAATTGTAACTTTTGAAGATCAGAAGTTTAAATTTTGATAAAGTCTAGTTTATGGATATTTCCTTTTATGGTGAGTGTTTTTCATAACCTGTTTGGAAATCTTTGTTTCAAGGCTGTGAAGATATTCTCTTGTGTTTTCTTTTAGATGCTTTATTATCTTAGATTTTATGTTTAGATCTAGGATCCATCAGGAATTAGTTTTTGTAGATGTTGTAAAGTAGGAATAAAGATGCATTGTTTTTCCTCCCCACATGGATATCCAGTCGTTACAGCACCATTTCTTAAAAGATGATCCTTTCCCTCACTGAATGATGTTGGCACCTTTGCCAAAAATGAAGTGTATCTATCCATATGGATCTATTGCTGATCTCTTTTCTGATCCTCTGATTAATTTGTCTTTCCTATMATCACACCACTGTCTTGATTACTGTTGTTTTATTGTAAGTCTTGAAATAAGATCATACACATCTTTCAACTGTTCTTTTCCAAGATGGTTTTGGTATCTCATGCCATTTCTGTTTTCAAGTAAATTTAGTCAATTTGTCAATTTTTTTAAGATTCAAAAATATGCTGGATTGTATTGAATATATAGGCTAATCTAGACAGAATGGACCGTTTAAAGACATTGAGTTTTTCAATCCTTAAACATAAGTTTATGTCCATTTATTTAGGCTTTTGTCTCAGTCTGTTTGTGCACCTATAATAAAATACCTGAGACTAAGTAATTCTTAAAGAAAAGAAACGTATTCTTTCACAATTCTGGAGTCTGGAAAGTCTAAAATTAAGATGTTAGCAGATATAGTAYATAGC